CCTTGATCTGGTCTCCAGAGAGTGTGATTCACTTGGTTTCCTTCTTTCAACTGCGAAAACAAAAGCCATGTGGCACGGTCGTGTTGTACCTCCACCCCTTCTCTTATCAGGAACGCCCTTGGACTGGGTTAATGAGACAAAATACCTGGGTGTGTATGTAACTCGCACACGTTGTCAGATCCCTGAAGTCCGCTATCTTCGAGACATATGCTTTCGGCGTCTCGCTCCCCTCTCTACCATGTGCAGGGGTTCCCTTGGTGCCACCATCCCTGTACTTCTCACCATGTACAAGTCCTTTGTCCGTTCCTGTGTCGACTACGCCGCCCCTGCCCTCGTCAACATTAGTCGGACTGCTGTCAACCGTCTCGAAGTTATCCAGAGGAAAGCTGCTCGTATCATCCTTGGGGCTCCTCAGTGGACACGCTCTACTTCTCTATATACCGAACTTGGTCTTTCCCCCTTACAGGATCGTATCCAGGAGTTTTACCTAAAAACTGCCGTTTCCCGAGCCCTTCAGGAACACGACCTCCTGCCTGATATTGTTGTCACCCCTGCTGTTGGTTCGTCTCCTTCTCCCTGGCTGGATTTTCAACCTGAAGTGATTGCCCTCGGTGGACCGCTCCCGAAATCCCAGGTGAACCCTGTTATTCTCTGCAAATACCACCTCTCCAGGATCGCCCACTGGTCCCCAGGTAGGGTCGTCCTCTACACTGATGGTTCTGTTGACCCCGCTACAGGTAGGGCCGGGGCTGGTGTCTACATCTCCCGTCCTGATGCCCCTGAGCCTATCAAACTGTCTCTCAGAGTTTCTGACGGGGCATCCTCCACTCAGGCTGAACTAATAGCCCTCCTTGCTGCCCTTCTCGCTGAGGAAGAAGCAGATGGTTTCTGCCCCTTGCTTGTCTGCTGCGATTCCAGGTCTGCTCTCGACGGGATCGCATTTGGATCAGGGGAAAATAAGGACCTCATCCTCCGAATACGAGGGTTAACATCCACACTTCAGGATGCAGGCCGTCCTGTGACATTCCTATGGATACCCAGTCATGTCGGTATCTTGGGGAATGAGGCAGCAGATGGCCTTGCCAAGACTGGCTGCAACAAGGCCACACCTGACTACGTTGTTCCTCGAACACTTTTACAGCTTAGGACCCAAATTCGCCGCAAACAGAGAGAAGCTCGGGAAGCAGCCATCCCCCTGGACTCCCCGCCCACCTGGTACGATGTCCTCCGTAAACTTCCTGACCTCTCGTACGTCTATGGGAAAGGGTCGCGGAAAGGGGACGTGATTGCTGCCCGTATCATCATTGGGTATGACTTTGCTTGGGAGATTGGTATCCCCGCATCCCCTGAGCAACGCTCTTGTGCATTATGCAGAAGACCCGACAGCAGCACCCTTATCCACTACCTCCTAAGATGTCCCCACACACAACGCTTCCGTGACGCCTGCTGGACCACCACTCCACGACCCCCTGACGGAGACACGATGATCCTCCCCATACTGGCCAGATATTTTGTAAATAACATTGATATCCTTCCTTCCTTAGGCTTTAGTAAGCCCCTTTATAATATTTATACTGTATATACTTGTCATACTTGCCAGATGCTTCTGGTGCCATTGTACAGGGGTACCTAGTGACAGCACTAGGATCCCGCTTCCTCTATCAAGGAATAAACAATTGAAATTGAAATTGAAAAATGTACAGTACAATACCTCAGTCTGTATATGAGGTAGAATGGGAGGAGACTCTGTGTCAGAGTGTATCAAGTGTGTGGTCTGTCGGCTGTGGTAATGGTCAGTCATGGTTCTGCCGGCTGTCCTGGTTGTGTAGGCCAGATGGATCTATGAAGTGCCTTGACGATCAACAGCAACTTTGGTCGAGATCTTGCTCGTAAGCTGTGCATAAAGATGTTTTCATTAGACCTGGGCAGGAAGTTTGACTGGACTCTCTATCACCATTTAAGGGGGGGTCAATGAGTCCCTCGATTCCTGTATTTATATCGTATTATATTACCAACTTCACTTGCCTCTTCATTTTTCTTTGCTGATCTTGTCTAAATTTATAAGTTAAGATGAGAGACCATCTTAACAGTTATTGGTTACTCATACATGTTAAAGAATTTTAATTATGAAACTGTTACGAAATAATCCAAGGCTGGAGATTAGTAAGACTTGAATTCAGTTTGTTCCTCATGTGGAAGGTTCTTAAGATGTCTTGTGGCTGGACAGGGTCTGGTTTATTAAAATTTCTAGTTTAGGAAGGTTCTATTTAAAGGGGGTTTTACTGTATAATAATAATGATGTTGATAATAATAATACTGTACAACAATAATAATAATATTCAAAAATACTGTACAAAGGTTTTAGACCTGACTGAACTACATCATATAAAGAGTCAATAAGCTTCATGGAAAATTCTGGGGGTTAAGAGAGGCTGCCAGATCCAATAAGCTTAGTGAAAGCCTCGAGAGTTTATGAAACCCTGCCAGCACCAATAAGCTTAGTGAATCAATGGAGATGATTTAGCATGCATGACCCAGCCTATCATATCCCTCAAGGACTAACTGACAACCCACGATCGACCGTCTCCATATAGATATTGAGTAAGACGGCTGAGTTCACTGGTGCACACTCTCCTGTATGCTGTGTTAATACTCATTCTCTAGTTTCTGTGGGGTTGTGCATCAGATACTTACTATGTAAACTGGAAAAAATATTGTATTGAAGACTGCAATCATTTTTTATTTTCTTAGGGATGTTAAATATTGTTTTTCATCTTAATTGACATTTCAAATTCATTATCCTTTCTTGGTTTCTGATTTATATTTTCTGGGTTCAGCCAACAGCTGTACTCGGGTAGAAATTACATCACATTCAGTAAGTACACGAAATCTTGTTTAGTTGTGATAGTTATGCTGCCTTCACTTACATTTCGTTATACAGGTATAGTTTAAAGGCTTATAGATTTTAGTCTCCGATATACAGTAGTCATACTTTTATTTACCCCTTTTAATGCCCAGCACCTTTAGTTGTGGAATTCCTTTCCCCCTCCTGTGTACTATCTGAAAACACCAAAAATCCAACTCCCTTTAATTGTGAGCATACACCTCATTGCACTGTTAATTCATATATCTGTGTCTTTCTTAATCATGGTGTACCAGACAAGCCAATCTTGATTAATGGGTCACTTTACAACTATATTGCCCCTCAGAGGACATACTGTACTGTCAAGTGTACCTCTTTGTTTATCACACACCTCGAAATACGTACTGTACAGTAAAAATATAATGTGCAGATATGGTAGCAAATGTCATTAATTGATATATAAAATGCAAATGGGAGGCTAGTCAGTTGTGGTTTGTACAAGACTGTTCTTATGGGCAATTCAAAAGAAAAATTGCAAATTATAGTGATGGAGTTTGGAACAGAATTTGGCAGAGGACTGAATGGAGGAATTACGTATTTCAGGTGGGTGTCAGTAGGTGATAAACCGAGTTAGATAATTGCTGAAAGAAATGCTTTGTAGTGCACTGAGAAATGAGGGAGAGAGATATTGCAGTGCCAAAAGAAGGACACCTATATGTCACAAGTGTAAAGCATGGATTCTGGATGCATATTGACCAAAAGTTGAAGAAGTTATTAAATTAATGTAACAGTACACAAGAGCAAGATGTGAGGTGAATAGGATGGAAAAAACATGAAACAGGAGCAAGAATGAAAGGGATGTTCAAGGAGCTCCAGACATAGGACCAGTCAGAATAGGGAATTAAAGATAGGTAAAATGAGTGTTTAAGACAAATTGGACAACTGTATAAGAGAAAGATTAAGGAGATAGATTTTTTGGGGGTCATATTACTGAAGAACATTATGACAGAAAATATGTTCCAATAGCTAGTGAGAATGAATGACTTTGTATAGTGATTGTGTGTTGCTCTTGATTCCAGCCATCTGCATCACGAAGGAAAAGGCTTTTAGGATTGAACAAAAATCAGCCCCTCTCACTCAGAGGGGCTGATATGGTCACCAAGCACCATATGAGAGGGGGTGGAAGAAGGTGGGGGTACGTGCATGTGAGGAAAGGGTGTGTGCGTGTGAAGGGAGGAGGGTGTGTGTGTGTGTGTGTGGGAGAGGTGTGTGTGTTTGTGTGTGGGAGAGGTGTGTGTGTGGGAGAGGTGTGTATGTGTGTGGGAAAGGTGTGTGTGTGTGTGTGTGGTTGAGGTGTGTGGGAGGAGGGAGTGAGTGGAGGTGTGAGGAGAGGATGTGTGTGTGTGTGTGAATGAGCGCTCCCATGTCGCCCACCATGTGGCAGTCAGTCTCTTCTCAAACAAGTAAACAGAACAGGTTGGCCACTCAGAGAAAGAGGTAAGACAAGAGATCAATACAGTAAGCCCAATACTCACCCCAACATAAGAGGGGAAAAATCTGACTAGGCCTAGTGGGATATCGGTGTCTTGGAATAATCTCACCCTCCCAGCTTTTCCTACTGTCTTGGAGATTAAAGAACACTGTGCCAGGTACACCTTTGTGGTGTGATGGTTGGTGTTTTAGGATGTACCAGATAAGTTACTGACTGAAGGTATTAAGGGAAATTCTGTAGACTTTTAAGAATTATTTTTCTTGCTGTCACATACCCATACAGTCACACAGAGCAGGTCACATATAACAGTGATACACCGCTGTACCTCATTAGTCCAAGGGCTTCCCCTTGGTTTGATAATCATCAGGCATTAGCCATAAAAAATCCCTAAATGTTGTTGTGATACTGTACTAAATCGATTAGGGGAGGGAAAACTAGAGGTGTATTACCATTACTGTAAACTGTAGAATTTTAATTAGACATGATATTTTTTGACTGCACTAGCAAGTTCTACATGATATTTTGTAGCTGCACTAACAAGTTCTCATAGAAGCTTTAAGCAATCTGGTAATGGAAAATAAAATTCTCATTAGTGTTTACCACACATCAGAATTTTAGGATTTAGGATAATGAAAATAATTTGGATAATCTATACAATTATATTAATAGACTCATCCTGTATAAAAGAGCCAGGCCTATATAGTTTTCAAAATATACTGTAAAAAATTGCATTGATAGTGCACTGGAAAAACCACAAGAGAGCATCACCAGCAAGATGCTTCCTGCAATATACAACAAATTCTAACAATAGGATTTACTTATTTTTACTGAGAAGCACTTCAGAGAATATTGATAATAAAAAAGTAAGGCCTTCTCTAAAGTTGCTCCAGAAGACCCATGACTTGCTCAAAATAGAGACTGTTCATGGTCACAGGTACCTATACAGTACCTGGGTTTCACAAGCTCTCTAATAGCAGAGCAATTCCCTGACCACCACCGATGCAAGCTGACCCAATTCCATATTTGAGTCCACGACGCCTGTGGAAAAGAAAATTTATTAGCCTCATTGATCATTAATACAGTACATCATCAAGCACACTTCTTAATGTTATCAATGTAATTCCCTCAACCTATACAGTAAACAACGCCAGTGCGATTCTCACCACATGAGGTAATAATTTTCCTGCCCATACTTTGTCTTATTGCCGGGTAATTTCATCCTGTTTGATCAGCTGGCATGTAGGGGAAGTGACAACATCCCACAAATAATCTTTAGACCTGCCAGTGTCTTTTCAGTCATGGCTGAGAGTAGATGTATATCTAAGTGTCCCTGCACTGGTCTAGAGTGCCCAGAAAATTGAGGAGTGATTGTGGTTGCCTGGTAGTGATGAAGATGTGGATAACCTAGGATATGTTAATAGTAGTGACAATGGTGTGGTAGAATTTTATGCTGTGTGTGTGTGTGTATATAAAATGTGGTCATAATTATTGCATAAAATATCCTTTTACATTGGCTGACATAATTTGGGAGCTAATTTTATTTGTGTCAAGCAAAAGTTACAAATAAAAACAAGTTACACAGCATTTCTTTGAATGAACTTAACATTATAAGTACTATTATACTGTACTTTGTATTTATGAGACCCACCTAATCTCATGAGCAACATGAGCAGTGATACGTGAACCAGATGCACCCAGTGGGTGACCCAAAGCAATGGCTCCACCATTCATGTTGAGAATGGCAGGGTCCAAATCAAGTTCCTTTTGACATGCAATTGTCTGGGGTGCAAATGCCTCATTGATCTGAAAAAAAAAATCCATGCATATAAAATTAACAGTGAAACCATTACTGTATTAGTGTTATTTCCCATTATCTTCTTTACCCCAATCTTAAGGTTTAGTGAAAGCAATATTTTGTCCCTCACTTCATCAAGACAACAAACCAAATTTTAACAAAACAGTAAAAGGCTCAGCATTTTCATATATTCCAGACACAAATTACTTCTTTGAACTTCATTTTTCCTTTTAGTCTATGCTGTAGTCTTTCACTTACCTCAACCATGCCAACATCCTTCAGGTCCACTCCAGACACTTTGAGCAACTTCCTAATAGCAGGTGCTGGGCCAATGCCCATGATTGAGGGCTCAACACCAGCCACAGCATAACCCACAAGACGTGCTAGAGGCTTCAAGTTCTGTTCCTTACATGCCTCCTCTGATGCCAGTATCACTGCTCCTGCACCATCACATATACCCTGAAATAATAATTTGTACTCAGAATTCTAAAGCAAAAGTTGAACTTCCATTCTTTTACTGCTTATATTTCACACCCACAAAAAGTATCATTCACAAACTAGTTCACAAAGAAAGGTTATTATTCCTTAAAATATCATAATATAAACGCGATAGATTAAATAGTTAAAACTAGTGTTTCTATGGGTGTCTGTCCCCCCAACCAATCAACTACCTTGCTACAAACTGACCCTAGGCCTCACTTGCAAGCTTCAAGTGAACAGACTATACATCATATTACTAAGCTATGTGAGCAACTGCTATAATAATCAGAGTTCTCTATCGATATACTGTATGACCTTGACACTGTTCTCTGCCATCAATTGAGAGTCATTTTACTGATAACAATTTGAATGGACGATGTATGGGGATTTTAGATACATGTCATGCCTGTATGGAAAAGGTCATACAATGGTGGTAATGATAATGATAGTTTTCATTATCTTGTTCAAACTGATACAAAATAATCTGGAGAGGAAACCCTTTCATTTTAGGCAGCATATAGATCTTAGAGACCATTAGGAACTACAGTACAGTACTGTACATGGATATAACACACTAAAGGAATGAACACAAGGTATCACACAAAGAATTAACCTCAATAATAAGCTCTACAAACCTTTTCTAACACTCGACTTTATAACTACCCACTTAAGAATTCAGGCTAGGTTCAAACGTAGATGTTTATCATTAAGAAATCCTTTTTCTTCATGTAACTGTTGTACTGGATGTACTCTGCTATGGTGTTCCTCACACAATTTATGAAGATTTACTTTAGATATGATAGAATAATATGAATTGTGAAGTGAGATAAATAGGATGAATGTAAGAGGAACCTAAAACATTACCGTATACAGTACGGAAAACCTGCAAGACCCTCTCTTTGCCACAAAATGATAAAACTCACTAATAAAATCCGATTCTGCCAACCCTGTTTCTAATCTCAACTTACTGAAGCAGTACCGGCAGTCACAGTTCCATTCTTCTTAAATACAGATGGAAGTTTGGCCAGACTCTCTAGTAGTGTCTGGGGTTTTGGGTGTTCATCAACAGTCATATCTGCAGGACCCTTCTTGGTCTTGATAGAAACAGGTGCAATTTCTGCATCAAAGTGCCCATTGTCCTGACCTTAAGAAGACAGGAATGAAGAATCATCAGAATTTTTTTCTGTACCTGTCTATTATCCACCAACACACAAAAATTAATTCTCAGAGCTAGAACATTAGAGTTTCTATACCAATAGCCTACCATTCTTCCAATTCAACTGGCTCTTAAGTGCAAACGCATCTGCATCTTCCCTGGTAATATTGTACTTAGCAGCAAGATTCTCAGCTGTTACACCCATGGGAGTCTTGGAATGGGCATCTGTCAGTGATGCCCAAAGTGTATCCTGTAAATAGAAACGTTTTAAATATAATAGAAGGATTGATATGTATATTTACAGCACCTATTTTTTTCACTAGGTGGGGCAACATTACCTTCCTTAAGTACTTCTTATTTACAAGTAACATGGTCTCTACTCTTGCACAACCCATCCTTTAATTTGCATCTTAGGTTAAAAAAACTGGGGACCTAGTTTTGAAGGATGATAAATAATATAATACGGGTTGTAGCTCTCAACATGTAGAGAATAAAACATTATAGATTATAAGGCTTTTTCTGTCACTTCGTATAAAAATGGGAAAAATTAGGTTTTGACATCAGATGACAATGACAGACAAGGTATGAATAACTAAAGAGTGTATTAGTACAGTATGTAAATAAATGAGACCAAAACAGCATAAAAACTGGTGGATAAAAATCTGAAGTGTTACATTACTGTATACTGTACTGACACAGCCAGGTGTGTTGTGTGAAAGACAGATTAAAATAATACAGCCACACTGAACATTAATTCAATAATGATCAGTGATGTTTATTTTGAAATTCTATACAAAACAGAAATTTAAGGACTAATAGTTATGCCAGAGAACAAATATAGAGATGACTGGAATGGCCTGTAATTGATTCATTTCCATTATTTTTCACTTTGTTTATGTGAAATGTATAGAGAACAAAATACTGTCATGATCAATGAAGTTAGGTTGCAGTTATATAATTGTAATGTGAATTACAGTATTGGTGGGGCACTGCCTTCCCTTGCCCCCACAGTTCCAGCACCACTGATATGTAAACTAACCTTATACCAAGCTAAATACTTTACACAAACTATCTATAGTAAACTCTCTTAGTGTAGAATTGTTGCATATTTAGATGGGAATAAATATAGTGAAGTGAAAGTGGGTCCCATAGACCTCATCAAGAGCAATTTAGATCCAATATTCTCAATATTAAACCTACAATAAAAATGGAGGCAATCTGATAAGTAATGTATTCACTTCATCCAATGTTAAAATCAGGTACACATTCACTACAAGGTAGATTAAGGGTGCACTAGTAACAAACCAGTGATCCTTAGGACAAGGAGGCAAGTGCTGTATGTACCGTATTTGCCGGGCTATATGACGCACAGCGTAAGAAACACACCCCTATTTTACAAGATATTTTTTAATAAATAAAAATTAGTACAATTCATCAAGCATGTATTAAGAGTGACTTTGTGCATGTACTGGTAAATACAGTATAAATTAGAATACAGTAGATAATCATAAGTTTGAACATGTATTAATATTCATGCATTTTTGTGGTCATTTATGATGAATGATAATTGTACCCGGTACATGCTCATGGTAGGCTATCCTTACCAGTAAGTTCCTATATCCTGGGCTTGCCTACCATACCCCTAGATCAGTGGTTCTCAAACTTGGGGTAATTACCCCAACTGGGGTAAAAACTACATTTTGGCTGGGGTAATATGCTTCTGTTGGCACGGTGGGGTAACCTCGTATTTAACACTTATAACACTTATGTTTGCTGCGTTTGGCTTAAGCAAGGAGCAGTGGGATACCCAACTCTAATGACTCGGGCTATCGACGTACTTCTTCCATTTCCCACGACCTATATGTATGAACTTGGGTTGTCGGCAATGTACCACATCAAGTCCAAGACTAGAAACCGGCTCGTTCCAAGCTCAGATATGAGGCTGGCTCTGTCAAAGACTAAACCACGCATCCAAAATCTAGTGTCGACAAAACAAGTTCATCCATCTCACTAAGACTAAGTCTATAACAGCACTGTAACCGTAGCACTATTATTGATTTTTGTATAAGACACACTAGAATTGTACACTTGTGTTTTGTATAATACACTTTATTGGAGGAGTAAAATTTGTAAGTACATTTGTAAGCTTGTGTTTTGTATATTAAACTTTATTGAATAGAATTAAGGAGTAAAATTTGTAAGTGCATTAATTTTGTAAACTTGTGCTTTTTATAATAAACTTTATTGAATAAAAAGTAAGGAGTAAAATTTTACGTTGGGGTAATTCGAACCTGTCAGACTTCAAATACAGTAGGAGCAAAACTGGAAAAAAAAAATTGAGAACCACTGCCCTAGATAAAGAACAGCACCTAATTCCCTAAATATCTAGCACTCTCAATCTACAAATCTCTGATGCCTCTGATGAATTTAAAAATAAATTTCTTTTCAATTGCATCTGTTTACATCACAGATGGCACTGTTGTCAAGTTAGACTCATCGCTGTAGTCACATTCCCTAACCTTCTCCCTACCAGGCCAAGCTATGTGTTATGTTACGGTTATTATTCAACTTGTAATTTTGGGTAGATATACACAACTTTCTTCATATTTTCTTAATCAGTTACATGCACAACCAATCCTACATACAGAATGTGCAAAAAAAATAAAATAAATAAATAAACAAAATAAAATAAAATAATCAAATAAATAATTATCATAAGGTCAAAAAACATCAAAAAACATAAATGGGATAAACATTTCTCTGGGTGCGAGCAAAAGGTAGCACGCTGAGCTGGGGAGTGAGAAATAGAATGAGGAAGCCCCGTTACTAGGTGTCGGCGGAGGCAGCGCCCCATCTGGGCTACGTTTCTATGGCGAGTGTCAAGGTCAGCCTGTCAGTCAGGGTTCCTAAGACCGTGTTGCAGTGTGTACACGAACGTGGACAGTATTATTATTATTTTTTTAATACTTTCCTTACTGCTATTTACTGTACAGTAGACCCTTGCCTTTTGTGGGTTTGCATTTCGCGATTTCGATGATTCGCGGTACACAAATGGTGGCTAGCTTGCGAGCCTTTTCCAGCAGCATCTTGTGTTACTCTCAAAACTTTAGTGTTTCTGCATGAAAGTGACCCCTAAAAGACTGCCTAGTGTCAGTGCTAGTGAAGTGAAATATAAAAGACAGAAGTCAGTGATGACCCTGACAAAGAAAGTTGAATTAGTAGCTGGTCGGTTGTTTGGCATCGGTATACAGTGGTGCACTAAGGTAGTCAAAGTTGCTATTCGTGGTTTTGCCTATTCACGCCATTCCTTAGAACCTAACCCCCACGAATAACAAGGGTTTACTTTATATTCTTTTGTTATAACTGAATAGATGCCAACAATTGTAAGTGTGCTTCAGCCTTTTGGCTTACCCTGTAGGCCATTACTTTACATGTGATAATATTCATAACTTTATTTTTTGCTTGTTTTTCAGTGTTCTATATTTGTTATAATAATAACAAATTTGAATTTGCATGTTTTTTGGGTTTATTAATGACAGCATGTGACCCTATGCATATCTGAAATGACCATCCCTTCCTTGAAACAATATTTGTTAATATTTGCATGCATATGACTGTGTTGGGGGGTTAAATTTTTCGGGAAAAGTGCATCTTATAGGCTGGCAAAAACTGTACTGAATACATACCATACTGGGTCAAATTTTGTTTTGAACCACAGGTAAAAGACTGACTTAACCCCTTGGGTACAAGAAGTCTCTCTCTGTGCTGAATAAAATCATCTGGCATTAGCCAAATAAAATATTATAAGTGGAATCCACAGTGAGTGTTAATACTTCAGAAGATGTGACTTCATAAGACTTCGTATTTTCCAAGAACACAGCTACCATATTGTCTGAGGTTTTTGTGTGCTGACTAATAATAGTATGAAAATGAAAAGCATAATTTTTTGAAAACTTCACTTAATAATATTAAAATGAGAACACTGTATATAGGTATAAAGAGTATAGTTATAATAACTGTCTGCCAGAGCTAAAAGGTACACACCTCCATAGAGAGGTCAGTCCCCAGTCGAGTGCCAAAACGAATGTTGCGCACAGCATAAGGTGCCAAGCTCATACTGTCAGTGCCTCCGGTCAACACAATCTTGCTGTCTCCCATCAAGATATCCTGTAATGCAAGGATGATGTCAATCCTGAAAATGCTAAGTAAATGAAAATTACCAATCACAGAATTTCTATCCTCTGAGTAAAGAAAGCTGTACCTTAATTAACTACATACAGTGGGGTATGCTATAACGAATCTAATTGGTTCTAGAACCTTGTTCCTTATAGCATTCGTTCGTTATAGGATTAATCCGTTCCAGGCCCCCAAATACAACCACTTAACACTGAAAAATATAATATAAAATTGTAAAAATTGTAAAAAAGTGCATAAATATGCATCTAAACCCCTGAAATAAAGAATATCATTAATATTTGTAATAAAAAAAAATAAATTAGAAAAAAAATAAATAAATAAATAAATAATGTTCGTTGTAGGAGTTTCGTTCGTTATAGCATTCTCAATTTTACAGGTAAAACCATTCGTTATAGGAATATTCGTAGTAGGATCCGTTCGTTATAGCATACCCCACTGTATAACCTTAGTACAAAATACTCATGGTGTTTTGGTGGCAGAATGATCAATGTTACAGACTTTAAATAAGATATATTTTCACTCTGTTAATGACTTCATTAGTATTTCTGTGTACCTGAACACCTGACATCAAAAGTATTTTCAATGATTAAAATAAGAATGAATTTATTGACCCTCAGACAAAGCCCTCTAACAAAAAATTCTTCCAAATAGGAGTCACAAGGTTTGCTTTAAGAAGAAGGAACCCGAGTTAACCCATAATCTGTAGAGACAGACACTCAACGTAAGGTCACCTACTGCAATGTCTGCCACACACTAGGTATTATCATAATACTGTACAGCATTTTAAAATAATTGGCTCTCCACAATCAAATTGTACCATGACCTTATTTCACTTCTAAATTATACATCTATCACCTTACTATCAATCACATTCTAAGCAAGAAAAGCCATAATATTCACACAGCTAAACTTTATTAATGTTCAAAACAAAGACTTGGCAACAAAAATGGAATATAAAATAAGATATATCTTACATGAGCTCCATTAATCACAGACTGGAAGCCAGAACCACAGAGTCTGTTGACAGTGAGTGCTGGAGAAGAGATGGGCACTCCACACCGTAGGCCAACATGTCGGGAAATATAAATGGTGTCTGTGTGTGCACACTGTGGAAACAACATCACAGTTAATAGCTATTTCTCAGCTACAGGTTCATATAAGTAAAGTACTGTAATATGCATAGCTCTCAAAAAGACCATCTCAGTGAATACTTATCAACAGAGACAGATAATTAAGTCTACTGTATATATCAATGATATGTATGTTCATCCATCTAAATTTGATACAGTACCTAAGTAAACAAAGGAACTCCTTTTGACGTGGTGACCACTTGTGAAATCTTTTAAGTAAAGTTTTCATACTAAATATCCAACAAAATAATTTTTTTATTTAACCTGCAAACTAATAATTAACAGTAAATAAAATTATGCTCTTCATAAAAAAACAAAAAACAAAAAAACATGAAATTTCATCTCACGATTGGGAAATAACTTCTTTCTTACTTTTGAGACCAAATATTAAAATGATGAGGATAAATTTGTCCAGTCCACCTGATGTCAGCCAATTGTAGTGCTTGGACTGTTAACAAACATTTCCCAATGACAGACTAAATACTAAGTGAAAGAACTCCTCCCAGTGAGGTAAATTAAGTAGGTTAAGTTGGTTCATCTTATCTATTATAAATGATATATGGAACAGTACAAGTACTGTATACACTTACTGTATAGTGTAGCATGTGCTGGAAGTGTTAATATGCATGGGACGGTCATCATATAAACTATGAAAATGGCATTGGTGGGATGTAGCTGGTTGATGTACATTAGTGTTCAGGATAAAAAAGTTTCAAAATTAATACAGGGAGGTACTTTATCAAAAAAAATTGCAAACCCTCTTCATTCTTTGCAATTATCTTGAGGTAAGAAAAAAGTTATCTTCTATGTAAAAATTTCCTAAAGTTCCTGGTTAACCTGCAATATTATACCAGAGTTTTACCTAAAACTGTTAAGGACTGTAATATACTCTGCAAATTTGGATGTTATATGAATCAAGATCAACTTACTCCAATAACATTGCCAACAACAACTGAGTCAACAAGCTCAGGGTTAACATTGGCAGCAGTGAGGGCAGCCTTTGCAGCCACCTCCTGTAGGTCTGTTGGTGAATGTTTAGCCAACTTCCCACCAAAAGTACCAAAGGGTGTACGCTTGGCTCCCACGATGAAAATACCTGCAGACATGGTTTATAATGAAAACAAACATCAGTCATAAACTAACATAAAAAAGAACAGAGTATTCAATTGCAATGAGTGAATAAAACCTAGACTACAATAATAACCAAGCAACTGTCTGATGTTAGGTTTGATCTACCGTATTTGCCGGCCATATAAGTATTGAAAGTGAGTTTAAAGAGATTTTCAGGAGAAAACATCACATTTTGTGCATGTAAATACAGTACAGTATATGCTGGGATGCAGTAGGTAATAAGGTCAGGATATGTAATAATATTCATGAATTTTCATGGGTCATTTTCGGTGAATGATAGCTACCCAGTACATGCTCGTGGTAGACTATCTTTACCGGTACTGTAAGCTCCTTTATTCTCAATCTGGGCTTGCCTACCATACCCCTATATTCTTTCTTTATGTTGCTTCATGATAAACAGAACCTCATTTGCTATATATGGCACTTTAAATCTAGAAATAAAGTACTTGATGAAATTGCTTGATTTACAGATAATTTTCTTATCATTTATGTATGCTTACACTGCTGGTGATATTGTAAGACTCGTCACTGTCGCCACATCCCCCTACCAGGCCAAGGTGTGAGCAACAGTATGGTATGGTTATCTTTCAACATATAATTTTGGGTTGATATACATGACTTACTTCATATTTTTTTACTCAGTTACTATACAGGCACACACATTCCTACATACAAAATGTGCAATAAAACAAAAGAAATAATTATTATAAGGTCAAAAAACGTAAAGGGAATTAAAAAAAAAATTGTGTGCAAGCATGAATTAGTACACTGTGCAGGGGAGTGGGGTGAGCAGAGGCAGTATCCCAGCTGAGTTGGTGTCCCTGAGACTGAGATACAATTTGTACACTGGCTTGTATTAGTTTTGCATTTTTATGTATTTGTTATTGCTGATTATAGTTATGCCAACAATTTAGGTTTTGTACACCATACTATGTAAGCAGCAGAGGTAAAAAAAAAAAAAATAGCATAAAATTTTTATTCATCATCCTCAAAGATAGAAAATCATCAAGCTTGTCCTTCATATTGTAAATGTGTCTTCGCTGATTTTGAGTCATGGGATAACATAAATTTAAGCGTAAAAACTTTAGGGAATTAGCAGAATGCCACTCCAATGTACCTGATCAGCTGTACTAGCTCCGAATATTTTGTTTTTGTTGTGCACTGCGTGGTTGTGTTAAACTTTCATTTAGCTTTTCCTTAATGGTTTTAGCTTAATTTTTTCATCTTGAAAGTATAATATTGTTTGAAGTAGCACAATTGTTAAATAACTTAAGAAATATAAATGGGATGGCTTATGAATACTGGGAAAGGATGTACAGTGAGTTGTGAGTTTGCTTCAGCCTTTTGGCTTACCGTGTAGGCGTTACTTTACAGATGTGATAATATTCCCCCTCTTAAAAAAAAATATATATATATATATATATATATATATATATATATATATATATATATATATATATATATATATATATATATATATATATATATATATATATATATTATATTTTATTTTTTTTTTTTTTTGCTTGTTTTTCAGTATTTCGTAATATTTATAGTAACACAAAATTTGAATTTGCACTCTTTGGGGGTTCATTAGGTGCCTGCCTGTGTTTGACCTGAGACATATCTAAATGTTAAAATGACCATCTTTTTCTCAACAATATTCGGTAATATACATGCATAAGATGAAGGCTGTTTATAGGTAATTTTGTGGTTAATGGAAAAAAGTGCTTTTTCTAGACCAGCAAACACGGTAAGTATCAAGTATGAAATGGTTATTTGTCCGGTCACAGACTTTTACTTACTTTCATTACTTGTCCCGTACTCATTCTGATTGGTCGAGGCTGTTACTGTTTATTTAGATTATTATTGAATTTGGTCACTTGCAAAAATGGTTAGGTTACATTAGGTTCGATTAGGTTAGGGTGGTTTGGTTAGTTTAGGTTTGCAAGTGACCAAATTCAATAATCTTGGTTCAGTATCGAACAATCTGAATGGGATTAATGCCAGACAAATAGCGGAGGTAAGCAAAGGTCCGTGATCAGACAAATAACCACTGCCAATCAAGTATTAGTATTAGATGAATATTTTTTGGGTACCTATATTTTGTAATATGTTATATACAGTACTGTGTCAGGTGTTATAGTTTGAAATAGGTATTAAGTAGTATATTACAAATGTTAAGTCAAATAACCATCTTAATGGCCTACCACTAATGAATGATGAAGCTGATAATTTCTAAGTACCCAGTAACAATGTTTAATACAAGTATACTAAACCATGAAACTCTACTTAAATTTTGTTACATGAAAACTCACTGGATAGTCGATGGAAATTAAAGTTTATAACATTTGAGACAAAATGAGATCTGTTCTGGGTCCTGAATTATTACCATTTACAAGTAAATCTGAATTCCAGTGATTCATCCATTAATTCTAACTGTAAAACACCTAACTACCACATTATATAAAGGATTTTAAATTCCCAGATTATGTGCCTATGTGTATATCTGAGTGAGAAAAATAAATTGATACACGGCCGGCCACCAGTATACGGATAGTTCTGTGTTATCCGAAATGACCTCTTCACATTTTCACCTAAAATTTCCCAGTGATTTTCCTGTTATATAATTAAGAACTCAACTTACCATACACAATACTAATGGTTCCTAATCTGTGTACCCCCAAGCACCCGGTTATCTTCCTCCTTCTTCAGGAACCAATATTTACCAATTATGTACACCATGAAACATTTTTTCAGAATTTTATAATGCTGAATAACCACATCTTACCCCTAGTTACTGAAGCCATCTTGATATATATGAATTACGGTAATAATTTAAACGAAATAGAAGGAGCGCCTCAACTCTCTCAAGCTGCGCACCGATGTAAACACTCTCAGCTGACCGGCTGATGTGTCCGAATCCGATCTTGCTGTCGAGATTATAATTATAACATCGGTGTTTTAATTTAATGAAATAAATAAATCGCCTAAAATTATCTTCACATATATAAAATTCTGGCCAAGCATTAAAATTTAGCAATATATATCTTGAACTAAGTGTAAGTTTTGAATATTTTAATAGTTTACACATTCGGATGCTGTCATAAAGTTGCCTTAGCAACAGATTCCTTTTCCCAACCAGAATATAATTGATAGTATCCACGAGTTACAAATTAAGAGTAGCTCAGTGATAATAAAGTTACACAGATTATACCACAAATTGTTCAGGGGTAGAATTTTAATACCTGTATATGATATACAGGACAATAAAAATTATCCCATAAAAATTCACATCAGGTCACTGTCATGGGTACAGTATAATGACTCCACATAAATGCTAGATAAGGAAGCGTTTCTAGCCCATGTATGCTGCCTCCTCATCACACTGACACACCTCTCACACGGGGCTGTTGTTAGCAAAATTGACATATTTGGTTCGTCGATTGGCTTTTAAACCTTGACTGCAGGGCTGAACAAATGGGACATTACAAAGGTACTCAAACTATCCAACCAGGAGCGACCTCGTTACAATGGTTTTAAATTAGACAAATTTAGATTCAGGCGCGAAATAGGTAAACATTGGTTTGGAAATAGAGCAGTGGACGAGTGGAACAAGTTACCAGACATAATCATTAACTCGAATACGCTGGATAGCTTCAAACATAGGTTTGATGGATATATGAGCAATAAGGGTTGGGTGTAAATGGGACTGCCCAGTATGGGCCAATAGGCCCGCTGCAGTTTCCTCCATTCTTATGTTCACAAGAAGTTGGTTGGCCTTTCAGGCTGGTCTTTTTGTCAGTGAACTTTTGTAATGATATATTGAGAAAACACTAAATATCAAGACCGCGTAATAGTTGCTTCCTCTGTTCGCCAACTTCTGAAAGAGGAAGTGAACAATTCTTCGCACAGACTGAGAAATTTGTTTGCATCCTTATCTCAAGAATGGTGGTTAAGCCGAACTCTGAGGCCTATCTGGCGACGATCATGTTTATCTGAGGAAGTAGACGACGAAGAGGCAACAAGGAATGAGGCTTTATCATTGCTTTATTATATGTATTACTGTACTACATTGTAACTGCGAATTCTGAAGACCATGTGACTAAGTTCTCAATAAAAATAAAAAGAAATAAGGTCAGGAGACTAAACACCATATTCAAAGCGAAGGGTCGCGGAAAGGGGACGTGATTGCTGCCCGTATCATCATTGGGTATGACTTTGCTTGGGAGATTGGTATCCCCGCATCCCCTGAGCAACGCTCTTGTGCATTATGCAGAAGACCCGACAGCCGCACCCTTATCCACTACCTCCTAAGATGTCCCCGCACACAACGCTTCCGTGACGCCTGCTGGACCACCACTCCACGACCCCCTGACGGAGACACGATGATCCTCCCCATACTGGCTAGTTATTATGTAAATAACATTGATTATGTGTTAAAGAATATCCTTCCTTCCTTAGGCTTTAGTAAGCCCCTTTATAATATCTATAATGTATATACTTGTCACACTTGCCAGATGCTTCTGGTGTTATTGTACAGGGGGACCTAGTGACAGCACTAGGATCCCGCTTCCTCTATCAAGGAATAAACAATTGAAATTGAATTCAAAGCGAACTAGTTCAGCCAAGTATTACAAGAAATATCCTAATCTTGGTCTCCTCATGGAATTTTCTGAATGCGCCAGTCACCACCATTCACATTAGTACTAATATTCCACCTACCATCATCCCATCCCTTAACAACATCAGTTACAATGTCATTAAAAATAAATACAGCAATCCTCCAGCAGTAACCCGCCATCACTACTCACGTCACAAGAAGTTAATGTTAGACCATGAGGTGTGTAGCGTGTCCTCCGTCATATCCTGTGTTCATGTGTGATAACGTGTGTGTGTCCGTCCTATGTGTACGGGATGTGTGACGTACCGGTATGTGTGTAATTTGTGTATGTGTAGTATGTTTAAAGACTTTGTTTTTTTTATATCTAGGTCTTTTGTGTTGGTGATCGTCTGTTCTGTAAAGTGAGGGCCACTGATTTTTATAAACCCCGTTGTTTTATTTCGTCAAACAGATTCAACCCAGGTTAACTATTTTATGATAATAGTTTCTCCTTATTTGGTGTAAAGAATTGTATGAAGAACAGCTGTGTTAATTTTATACCACTGATTGTCCTTCTAGTGCTTGATTACATAACTTCAGTAACTCAAACTTGGAAAATCGAGTGGTAAATATTAGAGATTCTTGAGTGTATGTATAACAAAAAAATGGTATCAATACATATTTATAAACTTACAATAGTTAGTTTCAATATCTGATATCTATAATAGAATAGTTCTTGGTATTGTTTTTTAATTTTATATGTATGTGTAAAATATGCACCGCCCACATTCTCTCTTATAGGCTCATGATTGGTTACCCTAATAGTAAACTCAACATGACGGAGAGCTGCCAATATAAAACACCTTGCAGTACTTTTAATAAGGGTGCGGCGGCTGAGTGGACACAGGAGTCACCTCGAGTAGTTCCTATACCAAATTTTACAGCTGGTAAATGGCGGCTACATAACCTACTTGTGTACCAGAAAAAGGTTTAGTGATCCAGTTTGTTGTACCCACACTTGACTCACAGGACGTCGATAATATGTGACCCAGTTTCACTATCTTGTCCATTATATGAAGCCTTGACGGAAAGAAAGCACAGTTATTTAATTTATCGATACAGTTACGTGATCTAGCATGATGAAGTAATGCCAAACAAGTGGAAAAGAACTTGGATGATAGTAAGGTGCTGTAAATTGATCTCAGCTACGTTTGGTTACTGTCAGAGCAGACAAGTCTCAGGTCGACGTGAGAGAATGTGGGCGACTCGGAGGAAGAAAGAGAGGTGTGAGGACCGGAGACCAAGTTGTCCCTGAGACTAGTCCTCGCCGTCCACTCTTCGTTGATTTGTTATGATGTCGGACTCTGAGATGGCCAGTATACCTGTACATGTTAGACCCAGTTTGTGAAATAGCCCGGTTCATGATCTGGGCAGTCATATTACAGAGTTCTTGAAATGGGCTTATAACCTAATTTATATACGGTAAACCTAACCTGACCCGACTTGACCTAACCTAACCTAACCTAACCTAACCTAACCTGTTAAGAAAGTGTAGACACATGCACAAATTATGAATCTAGACCGAGAAAAAATAATATGAAGGCAGGAACGATGCAAATATGTGCAGAGATGATATTGCTACAGTGACATAATTTGGGGTTAGGTTAAGTTAGAGTATTGTAGAGTTAAAGGCATTCTTGTAAATCGAAAGTCGGGAAGTTGAGTACAGTGATATTGGCTGCTGTAGTATCATTTAGAGTCCAATTAGTGAAAATTAGGTTCTAGAACAAATAAACAAACCGAGATAGATAGATAGATAGATAGATTGATAGATAGGTGAAATATACAAAGAGTTATCTGATGATCAATATGAATTTAGGATAATAAACGAAACTAAACAATATATCTTAGTTTTAGGATCTTCAATGACTGAGGCTTCGAGGTACATAAAAACTCGCATACCTGTTTTGTGGATTTTGATAAGCATTTGACAGAAGCAAACACAGTAAACTTACACGGGTCTTAGATCAAACAAGGGCGTTATTGATGAGGTTAGGTTAGGTTAGGGTAGGGTAGGTTAGGTTAGGTTAGGTTAGGTTAGGTTAGGTTAGGTTAGGTTAGGTGAAATTCTAAATTATCTTTTCTAACATCAGGAGCTGTAGTCTTCGTACATAATGAACTTCATAATTGGTTTAGAGTTAGACAAGGAGTTAGACGAGTCCGTATCTGTCAAGAATCGCAATGATAGAAGTTGTAAGTAATGATGGAGGAAAAAAGGTTAATGGTAAAATAGTGTTAAACAATCAGTGTGTAGATGGTACCGGTATTATTATAGATGTTAACGAAGCAACATTACAAAAACTGGTTAACAGATTGGTGGACAAGGTTGTTACCAAATTAATGATAAATCCTAAAATGTGAATTACAGTCGATATTTAACTTAAACAGATGTAGAATATTATTTGTTGGGGAAGCATCTTGACTTGTGATGGTACAGATGAGAAAGAATCACGAAAACAAGAAGAGATCAAGGAATAATACTATATAATAAGCCCAGTGATGTGATTATATTGGAGTTGAAGTTTAGCTTGAGAAAATGGCTGCTGAAGTGCTATATGTATGGTCAATACTGATGTTTGGGTTAGAAGCGTGGAGACTTGGAGCAGACACCAGAAAGAGAAGAGACACCTTCGATATGTAGTGCTGCAGGAGAATGGTAAAGATGACTAGCATTGGTAGATAAACAAAGGGAGAATTAGTAAGGCTGATTAGACCGACGAGAGAAATACTGAAATATTATACAAGTAAAATGACATGACTATATAATGAGAGGTGACGGGATGCTGGTAAATTTATCAGTGGTTAATATTGAGGGTAAAAAGTAGCCGAGAATGAAGACTCGGATGTAAAATATATATATATATATATATATATATATATATATATATATATATATATACCTGTATATATATATATATATATATATATATATATATATATATATATATATATATATATAAAAAGACGACCCCCTGACGGAGACACGATGATCCTCCCCATACTGGCCAGATATTTTGTAAATAACATTGATTATGTGTTAAAGGAATATCTTCCTTCCTCAGGCTTTAGTAAGCCCCTTTATAATATTTATACTGTATATACTTGTCACACTTGCCAGATGCTTCTGGTGTCATTGTACTGGGGGCAGTGGCGTAGCTAGAGTGTGTCTGCCAGGGCGGCCTTGAGTTGCCGCCCCCTCCCGTGACCCTACAAAAAATACATATTGCACAGTGACTCACTCTTTTATATATATATATA